AGGCCCTGTGGTCTCATCAAACACTAACCCCACTTTCCACTCCAACACATCATTACTCTTGCTTCCTACCTTGGCCCTCGTTATGCTTTCTTTACTAGATGCTCCACTCTGTATCATGATCTCTCTTCTTCCTATGTCTTTCCACTACCGACCATTCCAGTCCTTGACCCTCATCCTCCCGCTCCATACCATAGGAACTGACACCAATATTGTTCACATTCCAGCACAGCTGTTGCTTCACCAACTTTTTCTCAATTTAGTCCGAACTACTTGCCGGCATTTTTCACAGCTCTCAACCAGACTTCCAGAGTGGAGTCTGACATTCGCAACGGCAAATATACTTTTGAGGAGATGGGAAACGTTGCCCATGCTATGTCAATGGGCCGCGCAGTGCATTCTGGGCGATTCTGGGACAAGGAGCGCTCTCCTTTAAGGAGTGAATGGGAGTCTATTGGGCGCTAGCTCCAAAACCCAACATTAGCACGTATTTCATCAACAAGAAGTACAACATTACAAATATTTTCAGAGATGTGAGATAATTAATTTGCTATTGTGACATGATGTACTTTCGAGGAAAATAGGCACGTTTCTCAACATATACACTGACATTGAGTGAACGCGATTGGTCAACAATCTGCTGGATGTGGCGTTATACGTTCCTTCATTCATTGGATTCCTATCTCCTTTCTCTAATATCTCTGGCAACTGCACCATGCAATGCACCCTGGACTAAAGAGGCAGACAAATAGGAAAAAAATTCTAGACCCTTCATTAAATTACACATTTCTCGAGGTTGGAATATCGTAAAAATATGATCAATGGCTCATTCGAGAGAAGACATCCTCCTGAGTTATGACATCTGCCCGTATTGAAATCTGACGTGTATGATAGACGTTTCACGATCTAAAAGTCGTATTCCTATTCACTTCTGGTGTAATGAGAGCGACTTTATCACAGTCCTACGTCATACCAGACGGATTTCTGCCTGCTTGAACGCCAATAACTCAGATACACATGAAAATGTGAAATTACCCAGGGAATCGATAGAACATCCCTCAGAGATGCACAAAAACAATATAACATTCAAAATCGGTGAACATTTCCTTTAAAGCAAATTTCCTGCAATTCCACATATTTTGCCATGAGGCGGAGAGAAAAATGTGCAGTTATAAAGCTAATTTTCTGCAATTCTACACATTTTGCCATGGGTTATGCAGTGTTCTAATGCTATCTGAGTGACTCAAACGTTATAACAAAATCAATGGGGGCCCCATGCCATGACATTTTGGGAATGTATTTTCTTCCAACTATCTAGTTTTTATTTTGGTGATTAATATAATAATATAATAATAATATGCCATTTAGCAGACGCTTTTATCCAAAGCGACTTACAGTCATGTGTGCATACATTTTTACGTATGGGTGGTCCCGGGGATCAAACCCACTACCCTGGCGTTACAAGCGCCATGCTCTACCAATTGAGCTACAGAGGACCGCATTGAGGACCGTGATTGTTAGTTCTCAAAGATGATCTTATTTTTAAAAATATATAGCTCCATTAAATTTTCTACATAATTTAAATCTGGTTTTAGTCGTTTAAGTTTGTACTGAAAACGTTTTACCATCTCAAAAATTATTTTCTAAATAAATCAATCATTTTTTTTTAAATGGAGTGGCTGTGATGGGTGAGTTGAAGGAGTCAGGCGCAGGAGGGTAAATCACAGAATAACAGGATTTATTCCGGAAAACAGAGTTACGCAGTCATGCGTCAAAACAGTCCAGTGCGCAAAACAGGCGCACTGGAACCAACAAGGCACACGGGGAAATAACAAGGAGCTCCACCGAGCTTCACTATCCTCACAATAAACAATCAAAGACAAGGGGGCAGAGGGAACACTTATACAGGTACTGATGAGGGGATATGAACCAGGTGTGTGTAATGAACAAGACAAAACCAATGGAATGATGAAATGAGGAGCGGCAGTGGCTAGAAGGCCGGTGACAACGAACGCCGAAGCCTGCCCAAACAAGGAGAGGTGGCAGCTTCGGAGGGAGTCGTGACAGTGGCGGCAACCATTTAGAAGAGGCGGCCCGCCACTGCTAAATGAATATAGAGGAAACACTAAGTGTGTGTGTGAACAATAATATGTGGACTCATGTTCAGTACAGGTATACAGTATATGTGCGTGTATGTACATACCGTGCTTTGTGAAGAGGTCTTGGAGCTCCTCTTCTGTGCAGGTGTGGGGCAGGTTCCTTATGAAGAGTCTTCTTGACTTTGCTACATCTTCCTCCTCTTCATTTTCCTTCAGCTTCCTGGTGAAGCTCCTCTCGCTCCCTTTCTCCCACCCACCCCTCACACTTGTCCGAAACACCTCAATATAGAGCCCCCCTTAGAACAAACACATACAGTACATATATTTTTATTCTCAGTGAGGACACCAACGTGCACGCGCACACACAGTCTGATTCTCACCCATGTAATCTTTGTTCTTCTTCAGAGCCTTTTCCACCTCCTCCTCTGAGCACAGGTCCACATACATATACCCGGTTTTGTTGCCGTGGCATTCTTGATGATTTGAATGGCTTCAGGCTTCAGAGTAGTCATGACCAAACACCAACCCAGCCACCCACATAAAACCACACACACTCGCCTCTTGAAGGGACATCCTCGCAGTTTCACTGTGAACTCAGTGGTGGGTTCAGTCTGTGTGGCACAGAGAGATAGGGACACACACACATTACCAAAGGGGACACGGCAATGAAAACCCTCAACCCTAATTTCACTATCAGAATGCTACACCATATGCCATTTTAACTGCTATCCTCCATCAGCTAAATTAAGGTTGGATTTGAGGTAAAATCTACAGTCCCAAGGTTTGTTGGTCAGGGGTGCGGATCAAATGCTAGGTGTTAAAGGTTAGGCGTTTGCCCTACCTCCTGCTGTTTGACAGGCTTGCTAGGTTTTCCTTGGCTTTTATCCAGTGAAGGGACTGGTGCTGTGGCCCTCTGGATACCGTCTCTGTCCCCACTCTCATAGGCACTATCTGTCTGCTGCATAGGGGCAGGCTGGTCTTCCTCATCACCTTCATCCTCCTCAGCAACCCTTGTCTGTGCCACAGGTACTCCATATCAGACAGGCCAGACTTCAGAGCCTCCTTATTAGCACCTGACAATGAAAACACACTGTTTACACACACAAATCTACCAGCATCTGTCAGACAAAGGGTCTATGTAGGCATGTGTACCTAACCTGGTCTTCCTCCTTCTCTTCCTGCTCATCCTTCTTCTTCTCGTCTGACTCAAAGTTGAGGTAATCATCCGAGGCAGGCTTCTTCTTCTCCTGACTCCTCTCCTGACTCTTCTCCTGACTCTTCCCCATCTTGGCCCAGGTAGGCACCTGGCTGCAGTTCTGATGCACCGACACAAACTCCTGGAAAGCCTCGTCATCCTCCAGCTGACACATTCACACACCCAAACAAGATAAAACAGAAACAAGATTAAACAGAACATCAATGTCAAGGATGACAAGAAATGTCAACACTTTGTGCATTTGAGCCATCTTACACTCCATCCATATGTATCTGCCAGGCAGATATGGACTAACTATGCCTAGAATACTGGGGGATTCCTTTTTCTTCATCTCCTGGTGGAAAAAAACACACGACAAGAGAAAAATAAATAAATAATAGATTTGATCTCTCACAACAATTCAGTACAAAATATGTCACAGCACACCCTTTTATTATGGTACATCAACACTCAATATAATAACACACCAATATTACCCAGGACCCTGTGTGTAGACATGACTAAAATACGAAGGGAAGATGACATGGTGTGAAGCATTTGAAAACATTGAGCACTTGACTGCAGCCCTGTTGTTATACTGTACCTTTTTATTCTCCCTAGGGGGTTGGGGGATGGGTGTGTTTACTCCAGGCTCTGGCCTTAGTGCGGTCCCCAAACAACTTGCACATCTCCACCTGGGCAAAGGCACAACACACACCATCAGAGAGGACCATGGCATGATCTGTCAACCGGGCGAGTGAATCACAATTAATTAAATGTTGCCATAGAATCTGTGATTGGCTATCTATCCATCTAACCAGTACAAAGAAGACTGGATGGCTAACTGTCTCACCCTTACTGTGGAAGTGTCCACAAAGCTTTTATTGAAATGCTTCAGTGACTCTAAAAAGGCCTACTTTCACAACTTTTCATTTGCATAAAAAAAGTGTTGATTTGACAGAAATACTTCAAATTATAAAGAATGCATTTAAGGGTGTGTTCGTAAATTCAATCTGGAGTGCCAGAGTGTGCTCAGAGTGCGCTCTGGGCGTTCGTAAATTCAGAGCGAGGAGTAGGGTTGATCCGAGCGTTCTGACCTCACAACGGCAGTCAAGCACCCAAGCTAACTGGTTAACGCTGGCTAGCTACTTCCAGACACAAATGAGAGAACAACCTCACTCTGACCATTTTACTCGCCCTAGCAGAGCTGGTTAGGCTGTTTTCAAGTTATCCAGAGCGTTGGTGACTGTAACTGTGCTGCTGGCAACAATTTAATTACGCTTTTTTTGCCGACGTTTACTGACACCGGCCATATTCAACTCACTCAGACGAGAGTGCTCTGAAATCGGAGTAGATAGCCAGAGCGAATTTACGAACTCACTCTTAATCTCTTATAAAATCAGTTATCCGGATTGTCATAGAAACATCAAACAAAATTGATATTATTCTAAAAACATAACCTTTGATTTGCATAAAAAGTCAAGTGTTGATTTGCTAGAAATACATCTAACATTTTGTCCGTGTAGAAAGCATCAACAGAGAAAATGATTGACTAAGAACATTCTAGGGTGAATCTCAATTGACTACTCCTCGCGTCGCCTCCTTCTCAAAACCCATTGGACGAGAAAGCCAGAGGTCCCGCCCTCTGACGTTCTCCTCCAATGGTGTTTGAGAAAAAGCCGGTAGTATACAATTGATATTCTCCCCTACTAGACTCTGCTAGCTAGCCAGTTAGCTGTTGACTGTGAAGTGACTTACTTTAGAGTTCCAGGAATCTAGCTAACGTTTGTTTAGTTTACTAAATTGGCTAGCTAGCTACGCACAATTTCATCGAAATAGGAATTGCATAGGCATTTGCAAGCTAGCTACATTAGCCAGCATAAAATGTCTGTAGTAGTGAATTCTACACGAAGGTTACAGACCCTAACATTTAATCTAGGGCCTTTATGCTACCACCGAGGTGTCACAGGAGCTTCAATAATTTCACATGACCGAAAATCCAAGCAAAACTTTAGCTGCTGTCGTTGGACTCATCTGATAACTTTAGTACATCAATACAGTACCCGAATTACCAACTCTAAGGTAAGTGATTAGCTACGCTAGGCTAGCTAATGTAGTACAGCACACCGTACACATGTGGACTGTGGTTGCAGTTTCTTGTTGAATTGCCCATGTTAATTTTCCTATCCTAGGTGCCCAGGGTAGCAACATGGGAGCCTGTATTGGAGAACCAGCTACCCCCAGTTAGTATACTTTACTTTGTTAATCAAGTGTTTTTTATTAGCTTGTAAATGAAGAAGCCAGATCAAATAGACCTAAAATGGCAATATGTTACTGTCTCATTGATCATTTCTAACATCTAATAAGCATTTTCTTATAGCCTAGCCAAGTCTCTGTAGACCTTGTTGACAAATTGGAGCGACTAGCCTTGGTGGATTTCCGCAACGAGGAGGGGCTGGCTTGTCTGGAGAAAGCCATCCGATTTGCAGATCAGCTCCATGTTGTTGACACAGATGGGATTGACCCAATGGATTCAGTTCTGGAGGAGAGGTTAGACTCAGGCCAGGCAGATCCTGAAGCAACCCATAGCCCTTCAGTGTTTGCAGATCTGAAGGATTTGGGTAGTGGTAAGCCATTGGAAGTGTACAATGGAAGGTTTGGTGTAGAGATCACATTTTGCTTACTGCCCTAGCCAATTGCTCCAGATCTACAAATACTGAAGGGGCTATGGGTAATTTTTGGAGAGTGAACCAATAGTTATCTACCTAACCTTAAAGGTGACTTGTTTAGTCTCACAGATGATTGAAAACCCTCTCCTGTCTGTTCTGTAGGGCACTGTATCTGAGGGAGGATGCCGTGGCAGAGGGGGACTGTGCAGAGGAACTGCTCCAGCTCTCCAAAAACACAGTGGAGGAGTACTTTGTGGCACCGCCAGGTGAGTAACTTGGCTACTGTTTTATCATCAGCTCAGGAATTGGAGTTCATATTATTGTTCTGTCTGAAGAAGGCCGTACCCTATTTTGTATATCATGAAACTTAAATCACTCTTTTCTCTGCAGGTAACATTCCACTACCGAAGAGAGGAGAGAGTTGCGATGTTGAAGCACTCAGAGTTCTGACTCAATATGTGCTCTGACTTTGCTGATAGCTACTTTGAGGAAAAATGTACTTACTATGACTGATGTGGTTATCCCACCTAGCTATTTTAAGATGAATGCACTAACTAAGGCGCTCTGGATAAGAGCGTTTGCTAAATGACTAAAATGTAATTTAATGACTGGATACTCTTGAAGCTGTATTTCATTTGAGACACAGACCTCTGCAAAGAAATACATGGCTAAAGGATAGACTGTTTGACCAACCATCAAGATTGTCAGGGCTTGGCATTTATTAAGGCGCCTTCAAACCAGACAAACTGAAGCTAAACCAAAGAAAGATAATTCAGTGTTGTTGATCTATTTGTGTATGCACTGTATTCTCTGAACATTATGTAGTGTCATTATGTTGAAAAAGAAGAAAACGATAACTCCCAACGGTACATACTTTTTGTGGGTGCTCTGCAAATGCTTATCAAGGAATTCAGAGGCAACTAATGGGTGTACAATTCATGCATTGAGAAACTAAAACAAAGAAACATTCTACTAAGAGTCCTCACTTTATTTGAAAAAAATAACACTTGTTTTTTTACAAAGCTGTTATGAGATACAAAGATTATTTCGAGAATGGGGGCAGGAGACATACAAATAATTTCATTCTCACGTAAAATAAGAGGAACAAAATGGAGACCAGCATACACACTTTTGCGAGGCAACCATCCACAAGGCAGGGCAGTCTAGACAGGCTCTTAAAGAAACAAGATTTAAAAAAACACTACATAAAAGAGCTGTATTATGTTGTACCCTCTAGCATGCAGTCTCCTTCACACATATCCCTAACCAGCCATATCCTAGGTCTGAGAATGAATCAATGAGAATGTGAGGCAAATGCAGATCTGCCCATCTGCTCTGTCTACACTATTTAAAAAGTCCTCTGGAGACAGTCCTCATAGTGGAATGCACATGACAGACTTAAACAAAAAGCAACACAAAAGAAAGTAATCACCAGTCTTGGCTCCCTCCTGTAGGTAGACTATCGGTAGTGACGGGGGGGTGGGCTGCGGCTGGGTGGGCTGCGGCTTGGTGGGCTACGGTGTGCTGCAGGGGGACGACGTGGAGGGGGGCTATGGCGAGACAATCTGCGAGCAGGGGGCGACTGATAACGAGGGGGTGGAGAGCCGCGACCTTGATAAGCGGGTGAGTACCGTCCCCTGGATCTGGATCTGGAACGGGACCGCGAGCGTCCTCTGCTGGCCCCCATCTCTCCATGGACCCGGATAGATGAAGTCTCCCCCTGAAAGATGTCCGTCATGTCAGAGAATGTCCTGAAAAAGCATTATTTCTTAAACACTGTAGAGCTGAGGATCTGAGTGTTAAGTTACCTGGTGTGATCTGAACTCTGTCCTGTCCAGGCGCCGCACGGCATACTCCATGTCCTCTCTGCGCAGGAACTCCACCACCCCTTCCCCATCCCGCTGAACATCTGTGAAACAAACATCTCCAGCCTCCCTCATGTGATCTTTCAAGTCTTGCCAGCTCCCAGTCGGAGGCAGGCCTGTGGGAACAGAGACCAAACCATTGAGCAGTTTGGCCTTTATAGGCAACGCCCAACAATACCAGGGTACATCTAACCTACTGCTGTAAATGGAAGGAAGAGATGAGCTCTGAATAAACAAAGCACAGACTTTATCCACTTACCAGTCACAATAACTCTGAACTCTGATCTCCGAGTAGGAGGCCCAAACCTCCCTTTAGGACCACCGGGACCTCCTTCCCCATTCCCTCGACCACTACCACCCATAGAACCGTTGAATTTAGAGGAGGCAGAGCGAGGGTGCTCAACGCGAAGCTTGCAGTCTCCAAATCCATAACCATTCCTCCCATAGACTGCATCCTCGGCATCCCTGATACATAAGGACATGAGTGAGAATGTGGCATGTCAATTTGATTAGATTAACAACACATTGCATATGGGAATCAGTCTATTTATCTTGGCTCTTCTCTGTCCTGGCACCCCAATGGTGGAACGAGCTTCCCCTTAACATTAGGACAGCGGAGTCCCTGCTCATCTTCCTGAAAATGTTTGAAACCCTACCTCTTCAAAAAGTATCTTTAAAAAAGAACCTGCACTTTTCCCCCCCACTTTTCCTACTAGCACGGACTTTCCTGATTAGTTTAAAGTTGTCACGTGCACAAGTACAGTGAAATGCCTTTCTTGCAAGCTCCAAACCCAACAATGCAGTAATCAATAGCAATGTAGCACTAAAAATAACAAGGTAGAACAAAAACACACGCAAAATAGAAATAAGAACACAAAAGTAAGCTACACACACACACACACACACACATAAATACATACATACATACATACATACATACATACACACACAATTACACTGCATGACCAAAAGTATGTGGACACCTGCTCGTCGAACATCTAGGAGCTAAGCCTATTCGCCCAACATCAGTGGCCGACCTCACTAATGCTCGTGGCTGCATGGAAGCAAGTCCCCACAGCAATGTTCCAACATCTAGTGGAAAGCCTTCCCAGAAGAGTGGTGGCTGTTATAGCATCAAAGGAGGGACCAACTCCATATTAATACCCATGATTTTGGAATGAGACGTTCAACGAGCAGGTGTCCACATACCTTTGGTCATGCAGTGTATATACAGGGTCAGTTCCAATATATTGATAGGGGTAGATTGTTTATCCTGATGCCTAGTCAGAGTAGCAGCAGCGTAAATGATGATTGTATGTGAGTACGTGTGTGGAGAGTCCTGTTAGTGTGCATAGAGACAGTGCAAAATAAAATACAAGGGTCAACTCAGCCCATGTAGCCTTATGTTTTGGGGATAGAAGCTGTTCATGAGCCTGTTGGTGTTAGACTTGATGCACCGATACCACTTGCAGTGCGGAAGCAGAGAGAACAGTATATGGCTGGAGTCGTTAATGATTTTCCAGGCCTTCCAAACACACCGCCTGATAGAGGTCCTGGATGGCAAGGAGCTCAGCCCCAGTGATGTACTGGGCTGTCCGCACCACCCACTCTCTGTAGCGTCATGTGATTGAGGGCGGTGCTGTTGCCCTCAATCAAGCAGTGATGCAGCCAGTCAAGATGCTCTCAATAGTGCAGCTGTAGAACTTTTTGAGGATTTGAGGGCCCATGCCAAACCTTTTCAACTTCATGAGGGGGAAGAGGCGCTGTAACGCCTTCTTCATGATTGTGCTCTTGGACCATTTTAAGTCCTTAGTGATTTGGACACAGAGGAACTTGACACTCTTGACCCACTTCACTGCAGCCCTGTCGATGTGGATGGGGGCGTGCTCACCCCCTCGTTTCCTGTAGTTCACGATCATCTCCTTGGTCTTACTGACATTGAGGGACAGGTTGTTGTCCCGGCACCACACTGCCAGGTCACTGACCTCCTCCCTGTAGGCTGTCTCATTGTTGCCGGTGACTTGATGATAGTGTTGGAGTCGCGCGTGGCCACGCAGTCATGGGTGAACAGGGAGTACAGGAGATGACTAAGCACACACCCCTGTGGGGCCCCTGTGTTGAGGGTCAGCATGGCAGAGGTGATGTTGCCTACCTTCACCACCTGGGATCGGTCTGTCAGGAAGTCCAGGATCCAGTTGCAGAGGGAGGTGTTCAGTCCCAGGGTCCTAAGCTTGGTGACGAGCTTTGAGGGGACAATGGTGTTGAACGCTGAGCATTTTCACATAGATATTCCTCTTATCTAGGTGGGTAAGGGCAGTGTGGAGTGCAATTGAGACTGCTTCATCTATGGATCTGTTGCAGCCAAACTGTATACGCATTCACACATCAAGTCTTCTCGAGTTGGGCTCAGGGATGGAACAACTGTTGAACATCTGAGCTTGTGGTGGCATGTGGGGTTGTGGGGGGGATAGGTCGATCTATGAGTGGAAGGGGAGAGAGGGGTAGAGGTGTTTGTGGGGGAGGGATGGGGTGAGTGTATGCATCCTGTTGACAAAAATGTAGATTTTCTACTGCCAGTCCTTGTTATAGGTAAAATATTTTGTAGAAGTGCTTATATTATTCATAAATTGTGGGAATGATTGAAGATTTTTTTTATATACAGTACCTGTCAAAAGGATGGACACACCTTTATTTTTTACTATTTTCTACATTGTAGAATTATAGTGAAGACATCAAAACTATGAAATAACACATATGGAATCATGTAGTAACCAAAACAGTGTTAAACAAATCAAATAGCCACCCTTTGCCTTGATAGCTTTGCACTCTTGGCATTCTCTCAACCAGCTTCACCTGGAAAGCTTTTCCAACAGTCTTGAAGGAGTTCCCACATATGCTGAGCACTTGTTGGCTGCTTTTCCTTCACTCATCCCAAAGCATCTCAATTGGGTTGAGGTCAGGGGATTGTGGAGGCCAGGTCATCTGATGCAGCACTCCATCACTCTCCTTCTTGGTCAAATAGCCCTTACACAGCCTGGAGGTGTGTTGGGTCATTGTCCTGTTGAAAACAAATGATAGTCCCACTACGCCCAAACCAGATGGGATGGCGTATCGCTGCAGAATGCTGTGGTAGCCATGCTGGTTAAATCACAGACAGTGTCACCAGCAAAGCACCCCCACACCATAACACCACCTCCTCCTCCATGCTTTACGGTGGGAAATACACATGCGGAGATGATCCGTTCACCTACACCGCATCTCACAAAGCCACGGCGGTTGAAACCAAAAATCTCAAATTTGGACTCCAGACCAAAGGACACATTTCCACCTGTCTAATGTCCATAAATTCCACAAATTAACTTTTAAGAAGGCACACCTGTTAATTGAAATGCATTCCATCTCATGAAGCTGCTTGAGAGAATGCCAAGCGTGTGCAAAGCTGTCATCAAGGCAAAGGGTGGCTATTTGAAGAATCTCAAATAAAATATATTTTGATTTGTATAACACTTTTGGTTACTACATGATTCCATATGTGTTATTTCATAGTTTTGATGTCTTCACTATTATTCTACAATGTCAAAAAAAGTACAAATAAAGAAAAACCCTTGAAATGAGTAGGTGTGTCCAAACGTTTGACTGGTAGTGTACATTTACATTTTAGTCATTTAGCAGACGCTCTTATCCAGAGCGACTTACAGTTAGTGAATACATATACACGGCTCAAAAAAATAAAGGGAACACTTAAACAACACAATGCAACTCCAAGTCAATCACACTTCTGTGAAATCAAACTGTTCACTTAGGAAGCAACACTGATTGACAATACATTTCACATGCTGTTGTGCAAATGGAATAGACAACAGGTGGAAATTATAGGCAATTAGCAAGACACCCCCAATAAAGGACTGGTTTTGCAGTTGGTGACCACAGACCACTTCTCAGTTCCTATGCTTCCTGGCTGATGTTTTGGTCACTTTTGAATGCTGGCGGTGCTTTCACTCTAGTGGTAGCATGAGACGGAGTCTACAACCCACACAAGTGGCTCAGGTAGTGCAGCTCATCCAGGATGGCACATCAATGCGAGCTGTGACAAGAAGGTTTGCTGTGTCTGTCAGCGTAGTGTCCAGAGCATGGAGGCGCTACCAGGAGACAGGCCAGTACATCAGGAGACGTGGAGGAGGCCAACAACCCAGCAGCAGGACTGCTACCTCCGCCTTTGTGCAAGGAGGAGCAGGAGGAGCACTGCCAGAGCCCTGCAAAATGACCTCCAGCAGGCCACAAATGTGCAGGTGTCTGCTCAAACGGTCAGAAACAGACTCCATGAGGGTGGTAGGAGGGCCCGACGTCCACAAGTGGGGGTTGTGCTTACAGCCCAACACCGTGCAGGACGTTTGGCATTTGCCAGAGAACACCAAGATTGACAAATTCGCCACTGGCGCCCTGTGCTCTTCACAGATGAAAGCAGGTTCACACTGAGCACGTGACAGAGTCTGGAGACGCCGTGGAGAACGTTCTGCTGCCTGCAACATCCTCCAGCATGACCGGTTTGACGGTGGGTCAGTCATGGTGTGGGGTGGCATTTCTTTGGGGGGCCGCACAGCCCTCCATGTGCTCGCCAGAGGTCGCCTGACTGCCATTAGGTACCGAGATGAGATCCTCAGACCCCTTGTGAGACCATATGCTGGTGCGGTTGGCCCTGGGTTCCTCCTAATGCAAGACAATGCTAGACCTCATGTGGCTGGAGTGTGTCAGCAGTTCCTGCAAGAGGAAGGCATTGATGCTATGGACTGGCCCGCCTGTTCCCCAGACCTGAATCCAATTGAGCACATCTGGGACATCATGTCTCGCTCCATCCACCAACGCCACGTTGCACCACAGACTGTCCAGGAGTTGGCGGATGCTTTAGTCCAGGTCTGGGAGGAGATCCCTCAGGAGACCATCCGCCACCTCATCAGGAGCATGCCCAGGCGTTGTAGGGAGGTCATACAGGCACGTGGAGGCCACACACACACTACTGAGCCTCATTTTGACTTGTTTTAAGGACATTACATCAAAGTTGGATCAGCCTGTAGTGTGGTTTTCCACTTTAATTTTGAGGGTGACTCCAAATCCAGACCTCCATGGGTTGATACATTTGATTTCCATTGATAATTTTTGCGTGATTTTGTTGTCAGCACATTCAACTATGTAAAGAAAAAATTATTTCATAAGATTATTTCATTCATTCAGATCTAGGGTGTGTTATTTTAGTGTTCCCTTTATTTTTTTGAGCAGTGTATATATATATATATATATTTTTTTTTTATACTGGCCCCCCGTGGGAATCGAACCCACAACCCTGGCGTTGCAAACACCATGCTCTATCAACTGAGCTACATCCCTGCCGGCCATTCCCTCCCCTACCCTGGACGACGCTGGGCCAATTGTGCGCCGCCCATGAGTCTCCCGGTCGCGGCCGGCTGCGACAGAGCCTGGATTCTAACCAGGATCTCTAGTGGCACAGTTAGCACTGCGATGCAGTGCCTTAGACCACACGCACACTGAACAAAAAATATAAACGCAACATGTAAAGTGTTGGTCCCATGTTTCATGAGCTGAA